TGTGAGGTCCTTGACCTTTGTGCCAATATGTAAATGTATCACTACATTTATCATGAAATTATTAATTATGTATGTTTCTATTATACAGTATGTCTTCACAAGTGGGGCGCCCTGGCAACCTTATGGTTACCACATCACTGCGATGTTTGATTCCCATGTTTGCACACTCTCTGTCCTCCGTTAAAAACTGATTTTTCAGATATGATTACGTGTGATTATGACATCCCACCATGTCAAGAGTCCAATCCGTTCCATTTGGGAATTACATTTACATACAGACACAACAAATGCGGAAAATCAAAAGGCTCCCAACCTTGATCTTAAACCAGTTGCTGCCAAATCAGCCAGTATTTTTACTGTAACGGCAAATACACTCAATCTGATTCTTATGTACATAACTGTTCAACATAATAAAGCAAATACCTTCATTAAATGATGCAAATCTGTTTAGTACATCAGTGAAAGATGTAATATATTAGTCAGTGTTGCAGTGGATTTACACATGTGGATGAAATGTGGTCTTTTGAACTATCTACAATAACCGCACAGACCAAATCTGTAACGTCTGTAATTGTAATCTTGTGCAGGAGTGTTTGTGTGTGTAGGTGTTTCTTTATATATACCTCACAGAGGCAGTAACAGTGTGTGTAAGTGACTGCAGCCTTCTGTCTTAATGGTAAATCTTTGTTGGACCACAGTGCAGACAGGTCTTGTCTCTAGTAATGACTAGCAGTCTACGACTTTGTGGGCCACAGAGATCCTTACAGTTAGCTACCTGTCTGCTACAGTAATTGGACATGCTCCCCACATACACGCAAGAACAGACACATACAGAGTAAAGTTGATACAACAAACCCACATGAAAGTAGGTCTTCACCACAAACTGTCAGCAGTTACTTCATGGTGAATCCTCACACAGGTATCCACCTGAGGTTCACTGAGGTTTGGTCTTTGCTAACACTTTGAGTGTAGCAAGGTTTTTAAAGAGGATTAATGGATTTTTAGATCTTAAAGTGAACTCAGCTGCAATGTTGTGGGTCTCTTAGGTGAGGTATTTTGGAGAAATATGGGTAGTCTGGTACCCCAAGGCAAGACTAATGGATGAACTTCTCCAAAATGCCTCATGTAGTTGGGGAAGGCAAGTGGAAATAGCACTAGATAACATTTTACCACGCACTATGTCCCCACTCAAGGATAATATTTAGCGTGTGACCTGTGCAGTGTGGGAAAAGAGAGGCAATATCCCCGGGCGCTTCTTTCTTGTTGCCCTGCTATCAACAAAGTACCCTCCTCAGGTGTGAGAAGCACCTTTTAGCTTCAACATTTGTACTCAAACTACTTGAGTCCCAGAATCACAGCTAGGAAATAGCAGCCAAAGTGGGACTACTGTAACCGACAATAAACTGGAAATGACTTATAATGGTCTTATAACTAATCGAGAGCACTGTACCTGATTTATGTCTCCCCAAACGGGGTTATGGGGCTGTGTGATTTTCCTACATTCCCTCCACCAGCTAGCCGTGGTTGCTTTTATAAGATTTTAAACCCTGGTGCTGGAAAATAGCCTATAAAGAGATCAGCACCTTCGTACCTATATGGTTTAGTCTTACACATCAGACAGAACCCTGTATTGTGATGAAGCTTTCTTTTTCAACACACTTCTTCACCCTTAAATTATCTTAACATATTTCCAGAAATTCCAGAAAAGTCCTGACTCTTACACTACTTGGTACACATTAGTACCTATAATTTTGTAATTTAAGCCTATTGTGTGCCTAAGCCAGGTGCAACAGTACAACTAATACAACGCAGAAGAAGAGGAAAGAATCCAAATGACACAGTGAAACAGGAAATAATTATAATTTTTCACCTGACTTTATGCTCACTCTAACTACTATTCTTTCTATATATAGAAGTTCCAAGAAAGAGGGCGTGAGGACAATAAATGAAGGCAGACAAAGTTACAACCACGGGCAGAGAAATAATAAGCGAATGAGATTATTGAATGAAATCATTTTAGAATTCATAGGCAGAAGTGGAGACAGACACTGATATAAAGACAGAAGAAAAAGACATACTGTAGCTACATAACGTGTTAGACTGTGCTGCCGCCCCCCCACTGCTCCCCCTCCCTTCAGCAGTGGGTAAATAGAATAATTACTGGGTGGTCAGTGTAGTGTGAAATGACAGCGTGACCACGGCACAATGAAACGCTGCCCAAATGCTGACAGAACATGATGAGCACATGGCTGCCTGAATACAAAGTGTGCCTGTGTGTGTGGCAGAGATAGAAAAAGGGAGTGAAAGTTTGTGTGCACGTAAGTAAGTGTGTGTGTGTGTGTGTGTGTGTGTGTGTGTGTATGTGTGCGCACGTTAAAAAAAAAAAGAACAACACATTGTAGCGGGACAAAATGCTCTTCTTTTGGGAAACTCGCGCAGAATTGATCTTCTAACCTCTTCCACGCAGCAATGGACAATAGCAAATCCTTGCTAATGTAATCATTTGGACAAAATTTTGGACTGGAATTGAGTGCTGTTAAATTCAATGGACCAGGTGCATGAAGATGGCAGTGTTGCGGATGAGGTTACTGCCCATCATGTAGTGCAAAGCTAGCAACAAGACCAAGCATCTACTTTTTCCTCTTGCTGTTTCCAGGAATGCACCAGACTGTGTGCTACTAGACCACATTACTGACTTAATAATAACATGCATACATTTACTGCTACGAAAGCTATATTTTATATTTGTATGGCAGTGGAGATAATGGAGGGGGGGGGGTGCCGTGTGACTTAAGCTCTTGGACAGATTTGAAGTTTGTCATTTCAAGGTACAGCATCTAACTCACAAAGCCTAATCATTCAAAGTAACAAACTAATGCTGCAAAACTGTAAACTGACACTAATGGTGACTTTCTATCACTTTTCACCTTGTTAGGAAATGACAGATATATTCAGATGTTAGTGATACTGTAGAGAGTTTGTTTAGAATTTAATTACGCCTCTGCGCCGCTACCAACAACAACAAACCCTTTAATGACTCGAGCCACAAATTTACTCTACCTTCATTATCCAATGGAAAGGTCTCAGACTAATTAAGTACATGTGTAATCTCTGTATACAGAGTAAACACAGCAGGTTAAGTGGAGGAAAGAAAAAGTAATTTCATCAATCACAGTTAATCTTCTCAGATATTGCTACTGAAGGTAAAACTTCCTAATTAAACCAATACTAAATCATTACTGTTCAGCAGTTCTGTGTGTTGTGGTCCAGGTGGATCTCATGAGGCCTGGATGCATTTAACACTGCTGGCAGCAGAGGGAAAATAGGTGGCTCCGACATTATGACTTTTACAGGTTTTGTCTTGGAGGTGTTTCATTTCAACTGAAGTTCAGGTTTTAATGGTGCACAGTAAGACATAAGTGCAAGGCTTTATGTGTTGATGAAAACCAAAAGGTGAGGAATGAGCGTGTGAGAATAGCAGTTGAAAATGAAAGATCTGAATTAACCAGTTTTCATCAGTTTTGCGATAATCACTGTCATGCACGCGTAAAAAGGGGAAAAAGAACGGCTTTCTGCCTAAATTGGATTCACAGAGCTCTTTGGCTCTCTCTCCTTTCAAAAACGGGGTGAGAATGGGTGTTATAAAGGGGCGTAAATTGGCAAGGCCCACACACTGTGGCAGTGCCAGTGTGGCGGCGGTTCAGTGTTGAATGAAACTGACATGCTTTTTGACAGCAGGTGAGGTTTTGAACTCTGCCATCCCAGAGGATCACCCCTGCTTTTTGTGAAATCCTGCTGTTTTTGTTTTTCTACCAGTAGAATGGGATCACTTAAGAGGCCAAGTCGTTGGTTATTTATTGCCATGATTGCAAAGCTGGTAGTGGCTACAATTATATCATTATAGAGAAAAAGAAAGGTGATGATGTTAATGTCAAAATGATATCACTCACTGGACAGAGTTGCAAGAGTCCCACAAGAATGGATCAAGTTTTATACATATCTATACATGAAATCTAGCAAATAATTAATATTCCAAAGCAGCTAATCAGCTTTACACAACATAAGTGGTCTCTGTGTTGTCTACTATAAATAAATACATTTAATTTAATACATTTCAGTTTTTTCCATGTCTAATAAAGTAAGTAAAGCAAGATCATTTTAAATAAAGCAGTTGACTAGAATAGAAACAGAGTGTTAGAGATCCGTTGACTTTATGTATCAGGCTATTGTAGTGTAATTTCATCAAAATTAATGCAAAAAACATGTTAAGCTTGGTCAAATTATAGTGCACTTAGAAGGCAATTAATATACTTGGAGGGAACACCTGGGTTGATATAGACAAAAGTGCTGCCTTAATAATTATCGCAGCAGTATTGAGATATTGTTTTATTATGTATGCTATCAGAAAATTACATCACATATTTGCAATACTTGTTTCAGTAGACCAAAATCCTTAAAAAAAATCATATATTCTCAAGTATTTGAACTCTCATGCTGTGACAGGTGTCAGAAGGATTTCACTTATTGTTCATTTTAAGAGGAGAATGGTGATATACCAATATGGGAATTTTGTCACAAAACTATTAAATGGGAGATGAGAAGTGATAATAGTAAATTATCACCCAGCCTCACCACCGTATGTGTGGAAAACAACATTTTGACTGTCAGCTACAGTAGGTGTGGGGTTCACATTAACAGCATACTGACATTGCAAACAGCCTTCACACTCAGGTCTTTGCCCACATCTGCTTTCTGACAACTGTTGTGTGGACATCCTGCTAGTCAGAGCTGGTTTCTCTTTGTAATCCACTGTGCTGAGGGTTTTTTCTAATTTGCCACATGATGTCAGCCTTACATTTATACATAATGGATTATTTACAGGTGTACTCAGTAAACAGCGTTAGCCTGTGATAGGCTAGTAAAAACATAACAATGTAATGAGTATACTAATGGTTCATTCCACAGAAACTGGTGTTGCAAAGCTAATTCACAGTAGTTACCGGATGTGAGCCTCAGCTTTAGTAGCTGCCTGGTTGTACTGGTCAGCCGTCTGCTTGTAGTTGTCAAGGTTCTGGAGGCAAAGAGACAGAGAAAGAGGGAAAGAAAAGAAAGGTGAGCATCAATACAGGGGTATTTTACAGCTCTGCAGAAGTTGCACATCATTTCAAGACGGACTGTGTGAAAGTCATCCAATCAAGTCTCATGAATTTATATTTAAACTATTAACTATTAACTAAATATTCTAATATTTTTTAAATATTTTATATAGATGAAATTCAAGCTCTAAGCGATGATAAGCAAAATGTTTAAAACACCATTGGAAATGTCACATTTGTAAAATTAGTGACCTTTGAATTTACATTGCTGCTTACAAATCTGAATGCTGATGGCCTGTTGGTACTCCATAATGTTTTATTTCATGCCGGAAAAAGTGGCATTTAAACAGCAATTACAGCAAAGATGGAGCCTGTGCCTAGAGGACAAGGTCATATATGGCACACCTCTACTGGAGTAATCAGCGGCCACAGTGTTAACTACTCTGCATCGCGGTCAGAGCTGACTAGAAAGCAGTCAAGAGTATAAGAAGTTTAAGAAAATGAATAAGCGTGCAGCATTACCAGCCACAGTACTGAGAATATGTTTAAAATCATCAGCTTTGTCACAAGAATGATCACCTTACAGGTTTTGTGTCAAAACATATGAAATACCGTTTGTCTGGAATGCGTCAAACACAAGGAAAATCTCTCTCTCACACATTCACTGCTCAGTAATCACCATTTTAAACCAATAACCACAGCGCTCACGCTTTTACTTAATTATTCCCTATATTCCCAATAGAAGGGGTGATAGGAGAGGAAGATAATTGAAGTGACTAAAGACAGGGAAAGAGATGGGATCAAACACAAACCTCCTCCACAATCCCTAGCCCTCTACTCCTCCAGTGCCCCCCAGTCATTTTCATATCTCATTATTTCACACTGATCCGCAGACATGCTTCCCCTGATCTGAATGTCTGGTGTTGGAAAAGACTCAAGTAATGTCATAGGCATCTTTTTTCTTAATCCTATCTGCCAGTATTCACTTCAATGTAATAATCTGCCCCTCTATCCTTTTATTTCCTGTTCTTTAAGGAGAAGACAGTAAAATGTAAGTCATAAGTCTAGTATGAAGGAAGAGAGTAGTTGTAGACCAATAAATCGCTCAGCCGATTAATCTGGCCAATTATTTGGCATTTTGAGATAATTGGTGGATGTCTGTGCTCATGAGGCCGATGAACAAAAAAATTCTTCAGACACATCTGCAGGCAGCCTTGGGCCAGTCAGTGTGCCAGGTGTGGTGTGATGTTAGCGCTCCCCCTCTTTTTGGGAAGGTGGTGAAAAAGTTGGTTCTGTACTATAACTTTCCTGCTCTATATTTTCTATAGAATAGAACAGAATTATACATGACTTTTCTTTGTTTTGAAGATCGGCCATTAAAAAACCCATATTGGTTGAGCAGTGGGTACTTTGCCCTGAGTTGAATTGAGTTCAATTTTTAAGCTGTCACAGTATACGCAATTTGGAAATGCCAAACAACCCAGGTGTAAGACTTTATCCCTTCCTGTTATGTTTCCTAGATGTGTTTTTCTAGGACAGGACTCAGGATTGGCTCCTGATGCTGCTAAACATCCCCATTCCTAATATGTGGACTAGGTTTAAATATCACACCTCAACAGGGGGGTAACGACTACAGCTGAAAAGCAAGAGTACACTTCACACAGCATTTTGTATCAAATAAAAGACAGTTCCAGACCACAGAACCGCTGCTCAGATGGTTTATTAATCTACTAAGCATTTAACATTACAAATAAATGAATAACATTTAATGTGCTAGAAACCAAGCTCTCTTCTCTTCTTGTTGGAGAAGAGTTAGTTAATACTTTGGCTGGCTCCCTGGGAATAAGTGGTAAGATGTTAGCGACTTTAGCCTTTAGCCTAAGGTCAGGGGCTCAGTGGGTACACTCAACAGAGGAAAGCTAAGCTGAAACTTGAAAGTCTGTAGTTGCCTTGTGGGATATCCAGTGTTCGAGCCAAGATAAAAAAAAAGGTCCACAGGGGCTTAAACCCATGGGTGCCTCAGATTATGCAGGACATAGAGAGTAGGGCTCCAGCAAGGGAAGCAGCTAGCAAATGGTTTAAAGGTAAAGTCAACTTCTCACTGAAGACTGGTGTATCCTACTAAGGCAGTAGTTAATACAGTGCTTCCCACTTGGAAAAAGATAAACAATTGAATACATTTAGCAACGTAGCTGCTTTAACTGCTTGGCGGTGGATGTAAGACACAGTCGGCGCTATTGGCTACGGTCCCTAGCTGCCTGTACAGGAAATACATGAACATAATTTGTGTTTCATGTGGACCTTAAGGGAGCTACAGTGTTGACCCTTTTTCATGTTTTCAAATGTTTAATCGGTGAAATTGCCACCACTGTTTGAAATCGGTGGTTTGCAAATCTAAAATTTTGCCCTTGTTGCCTAGTTTAGTAAAACATGGCCTCATATGTAAAATCTATTCTCTCTGCAAAGTCCCACAAAGTTCATCAACAAACAATCATGTGCTCTGGAGAGTTTCTCAGGAATCTCACCATTTGGAGCCTCTTCTAAATGGGAACGAGTTCATATTCCTCTCACGTCTCTCTCACACAAACTAACTGTCAAACAACTCTATGCTTTTTTTCCATTGAAATGTACAAAATGGGTCATTTTTGATGGTCATGAAACGATGTACCAGAGAATACTGATACAATTATCACGTCTCTGGCCTTGCTAATAAAACAGGGGGATGTGAGGAAAATGAGGAGAGTGGAAGTGTGAAGGTAGTGTTTGGACTGGCAGGTACAGCTTATCCAGTCGAAATGTCACGGGACCGCAAGGCTGTGTGTTGTTTTTGTGTGTATTAACATGTTTTTTGTGTCTATTGACAGAACAGACCCAGAGCAACAGCCCCAGCTCAGCTCTCATGACACCAGAGAAGTGGCAGCACTATCACTGGCACACACACTCCGAGCTCTTCCCAGTCATTTGCACCCTTGGGGACAAAAACCCAATGTGGAGAAACAGAAAGAGGGGATGATAACCCTCAATGGGGGGAAAAGCAAGGTTTTTGGGGGTGTTGGAAAGACTCGTGGAGAGGATTAGTGAGGGTGCATGTGTGTGTGCGCGTAAGCTTGCATACATGCAGGTGTGTGACTAAATCTGTGTTTGCACGGGAATGCTTGTGTTCAGATGATCCTTGCATGCACACTCGTCTGAACACCCTCCAGCAGCTGTGGATTGAGATGGGCTGATGTCAGGGATTTTGAGGGAGGGGTTGTTTCACGCTCCGCGCTTGGACGAAGGCGGATTAATTTTTTCAAGAGGGGGGATTAAAAGAGGTGAATTTTAAACTGAGACTTGTTTACAGAGTCACAGGGTTATGTTGCCACAGGGAGACAGATATACTCCACCTGTACACTGGGAAGAGATTAGGGAGGCATCCACAAATAAACGAGAGGGAGAGGGAGAAGGAGAGGGGGAGGGAGAGGATTGGTAGGGAGGATGTACTGGTATGTTTGGGGGGGTGTTTCAGTCTTGAGATGTCTTTTAGTGTGTGAACCTGTATGTGTGTGAGAGAGGGGAAATGCGATGCTGCACAGTAGATTGGCCACTCTATCACAATTACTTCTGAAGTGACAACATACACACAAACCTGTCACAATAAACACACACACACACACACACGCACACACACAGGCTATTTTCTCTTTTGTGTCAGTAGTGGACACCATCCACAGCCTTTAGACAAACACCATAGTCTGTTATCATCATTCATCCCTTAGGCAAACTGGACACCAGAGTGTGTTTGTGTGTGTTTTCATACAAATTAATACAAATAATATCTCACACACACACACACACACACACACACACACACACACACACACACACACACACACACACACACACACACACACACACACACACACACACACACACACACACACACACACACACACAGTTATTAGCCTATTAGAAGAGGCTGCTGCTAAGCCAGAGTAAAATGTTGATTCAGGGGAAGATCACACACCAATTATCAGTGGATTCTCCTTCTAATCTAGATGCTCTTACCTTTGGCTTAAATCTCTGCCTCAGATTATTAACACATCCAAACAGTGCAATTACGTGAGTCTGAGTGTCTGAGTGTCTGCTTGTGCATTTACTGTACGTATGGAAAAACTCAGACTTCTGAGATTATTTGAAGAATAAAAGCCTGTCCTGGTTAAATAAAGGTTACATAAAATAAATAATATTCATTCTTAGACAACGGCAATCATCACCTCTCTGTTTTGCTTTAACAGGTTCTAAAACAATACTGATAGCGAGGAAGGCCAGAGCAATGTAAGTCTTCACATACTTGGATCAGAATCTATTTGAACAGTGGGACATATTACTCTTTCAAATTGTGTTTTGCATTTATGTAAATGACCTGTGTCAGTCACAATTCAACTTTTAAGAGGCCATTTATTTCAGCCCGAATGGCATTTGCCACAGGTATGAGAGAGTGAGAGGAAGAAAAATAGGCAGGGCAAAGGAAAGGGGGCATGAAAGGAGGTCTGGATGAATAGAGTGTCAGATTGGAAAATGAAGGAAGAGAAGGAGGGAGATGGACGCCGGCTCATGGCGCAAGCTCAGGATAGACTCTCTGTTTAATGCACAGTCCATATAGCCTCTTTATCTCTTGCTCTCAGTCCCCCTCTTCCTCACTCCCTCATCCACATGCAGGTCAGCTGCGAGGAAGTGAGGGGTGAAAAAAAGCGATAGAAAAAGCAACTGCAGCGGCGAGCGGAGAAAGATAGAGCATCCTCCACTCTTTTGCCAATCAGTCTCTTCCGTCAAGCATTGCAGCGTGTGCTGCTTGCCGCACGGTGTGCAAGGGGCCCTTCCATTTAACTTGGCTATGTAAAAGGTTTTCTCAGAGGCCTAAAGGAGGCGAGTGCCAGGGACTAGATAAGGTCCCCCCCGTCTGCCTGATGGGCCCCGCCAGACGGAAGGAGAGACAGGGGAAAGGGGTGGAGGGGGAGTCAAGTCCTAAAGAGTGTCTGCTCAATACTGGAGGGAGGGTTATGGGTGTGAGGGGAGAGACACAGGATAGGCCACGGGAGAGGGAAAGGTGTGAGAGTATGTAGCATGTGAGTTAATCTAATTTTCATAAAAATGAAAATATTTGCTCTACTATTTTATCAGTGTACTTGTCATTTATGTTTTCCTGATTCTTTTCTTCCTTTCTTTACTTAATTTGCACTCTGTAATTTTACTCTCCTGCCTCTTGTCCTTCCTTCTAGCCTCTGCCCATCCTCAAGAGCATAAAGCAGTTTTTATCCTGCCCTAAAATCATATACCAGTACCAACCTTGTTCCTCACAAAGTAATTTAACAAATCTCTGTAAGCAAGCAGCATTTATCAAACCACTGTGCTTTTGGCTTTTACAGGGTGCAAAATATGAACAACGCATTAGTGCTCAGGTGGAGGAAACACAGGTCATAATTTCTTAAAAGCACCAAACAAACTGCTTTTATTTTTTCTATTTTTTGAAAAGACCACAGGGTTGCTGGCAAAAGGACATAGTGATGAGAAAAGCACAGTACATTTGATTAGAGAACTGAAGCTCTCTGAGAGAGACGGCGCTGTAAAACCTCTTCTGAGTGCTGGTCCATCAACAGCGAGTCGTGACTCTCATCTGCCTGCTGAAACTTTCAATTCATTTACATTTACATTTTGACGCCGGTATGTGGGCTTGACATTTCCAAGATAGAGAAGAGTGTCTTGTGTCTCAACGAGATTTTAGTCTCCAAGGAGATTGAGTAACATGTCACTTTAAGACTTGTTTTGATATTCCTGATGCGTAAAGGCTCCTTTTCAGTGAAAGTCTACAGGATGTTTTTATCTCATTAGTGAAGTCTCCGGTTATACGTGTCAATTTTTTTTAAAGTGCAACAAAGGAACAGTCATTGCTTTACAGAATGTAATGTCAGCACTTCTATAATTTCACACCAGATGGACCATTTGTGGACCATCAATATAATAAAAATGATTTAGATTTTTTGCAATGCAACCAATGAACACATCTGAGGATGCATGATTATAGAAAAGGCCTTTCAGATGACTTGTTTATAAGATGGAAATAATTGCCCTTACCTTCTTCTCCAGTATTTCTAGTTGCTCTTTATAGAAGCTGGAGATGCTGGCCAGTTCCTTCTCCCTCCTCTCCAATTGTTTGGCCTGAGAAAGAGGAAGAAAGAGTAGAGGTAGAAAATAAGTCAATAAAGAAAGGCAAAGAAATAAACAACATAGCATTTATTTAACAGCTTTTAGAGAGCTTTTTATTATATTAACACAGGAGAGTTTACTACACTCTCTATAGACCTGTGTAAATACTCAACTCATACTGCTTGGTACAAAATAAGGAGAAGAAAATCAATCCAGGTACCAATTAAAATTAAATTTTGCATTTGACAATTTTTAAATTGACATAGTTACTAAGTGGGTAAAAGGATGCTAAAGGTAATAGGCTAAACTATACATTGCTTTTGCTCATGAGCGTGGCGCACACATGGGACACTAGCTTGTGCTCAGGGGAGAAGAAACAAAGCAACCTGTTGCTTTTAATGACCAGTAAACCAGTGGTTTCTGATAAATTCAAAAATATTGCCCAAAAAGACTGAATTCTGAATACATATCTCACTTATAATATAAAAAATAATTCAAAATGTCAATCAACTCTACTTCATATTCCAATAAAAAGTCACGACTATATTGCAGGGGACATTAGATTAATCGGTTCTGCAGCAGTAAGCAAACAAAACATAAATTAGGTTCTTAAAAATGGTAAAAATTATTATATATAGACATACAGTGTGTGGTTATAGCAATAAATTGCAGGTTAGTGTTTTTCAATGCATTATTTTTCCATTTTAATCATGTGTTACCTCATACATCCACTACTCTATACTGTAGCTATATCACAAATCTATGATGCTTGATAGAAATCTATGATATGAAAAGTGCATCATATCTACACCAAAAAGTAAAACACAAAATAATGGCTATGTAAAAGCGGGTCCATCTAATGTAAAGAACTTACAAATCTACTCAGGTGGCATGGGACTGGCACAGCAGCGACAGGGGCTGATATGACGAAGCTGGTGTTAAGATGAGGTGAAACGCTTTAAATGCCCGCCGAGCCAAGCTTTGACAGACAGCAAGATGGCAGATTGGCTGTAGGAAGACCCATAGTTGGGCCATGGCCATAGCAGCATGCAAGCAGAGGAAGATAGGAGGCAGACGTAAAAAAAGATTCACTGTGAAAACAAGTTGCCATTTCAGCTTGAAGTCAGAAATGTACATGCACTGGGAGCGTTAAATAAAAGATTCACATTTTTGAGGAAAGATTCACTAGAGAATGTAACATGAGTTTCGCCATAGGGCTACCTTGTTTTGACAGCATGAGGCTTCACAGTGTGTCAATATCAGAACACAATTTCATAAAGTGGAATATAAAGGGATTCCTTTATGATAAATAGAAATTAAAAAACATGAATAATGAAGAGTTATTGCAGAGCTGCAAAAAGAAAAGCAGTCAACGGAGATGTACATGATCCAAAATGGCGAGCACTGTCAAGATATCTGTGTAGGTTTGACTGACAAGCAAAGTACTGCCATGTGCTCCATGTTGTCACTCATTGTGCTTTACTAATCCATCTATGCATCTCATTTTAGATTACTCAGTCTTATGACTTACAATATCACAATGATGATTTTCTCTTGGAACATAAAGCAATAATCACATGGACACACAGAGATGTATTATGTGATAAGGCATGGTGCGGTGCCTTTATATGAAAACACAATACCTAATCTATTTTCAGAAAACATACCATACTGTGTTTATATTGACACTAAAAACCATGCAACTTAGTTTAGATCTTGTTTACATGCATCTGTCAGAAGTTTGGTCACGCTGTGGAGGGAATGCAGCGGATCAAAGAAGGACCTCAACAGTTGTAAAATCACATATTACAGCTAAAATGCATAAAATAAACACGATACAATTAAGATAAAATAAAATGATAGGCAACATACACATGGTATACACAGGATGGTTGATTTCTCTCCAGCATCCACATATTTTCGAGAGGTTTATATATGTGTGCATGTATATTAAAATGATTATTAATCAGTGCTTTGACACCCATAAACACACATTGTTTCTAACCAATAAGAGTAATGAGTGAAGCAGTGCTACAACAGTATGAACATGATATGGGCCATGAACACAAAGAAGCTGGCTGGGAGTGAGGCAGAAAAAGGCAGCAATGGGGCATGCATTTATGTAGCATTGAAAAAGAAAGTGTGTATTACAAACACACACACACACACACACACACACACACACACACACACACACACACACACACACACACACACACACACACACACACACACACACACACAGTTACACCATGGTGTAATGATGACTGATTGCTGAGCCCGAGTTGTGCAATACTGACTGTGATATAGAACAGATGGAACAACAGCATCTTCTCTGGGTGATTTTCTTTGCTCTTTGCTGATATGGTGAATACAGGCGTGCAGACACACACACACACACACACACACACACACACACACACACACACACACACACACACGGACACACACACACACACACAGACACACAGACACTTACACACAGATTGACATTACATTTATTGTAATCCAATCTAATCTTATCCTAACTTAACAGGCACATGCATCCCCAAAGACTCCATCTGCAAATCCCTATACTGTGCTCACTGCACTTTTTCTTTCTACAGCGGCTGTTTGATGCTTAAGGGCTGTGTGTGTATATGTGTGTTTGTGTGTAAAATCACCTCTGCTAGCAGCACAGATGATGTGTAATTTTCTAGCTGAATACCTCCCAAAGTGTTGTTGTGTGGAATGGTGGCGGCAGCACACTCACAGCCTCGCTTTAATACACAATGAAAACATGACATTTGAATAGAGAAGAGAGAAAGAGAGAGAGAAAGGAAGGAAGAGAAAACCGAGTTTAGAAAAAAGAGGCGCCAGCAATGGTAGTGTTGCTTACCCAGGCATCCAAATCTGCTGGCTAGGAGAGAGAGGGAAAACGGGTTAGTGAGTGGTAGAGGATGTGAGGAAGGCACAGGGTGGGAAGAGATGGTGACCGAGACAAAGAGGAGAAAGCAGGGAAGACAGGTATAATAACAGGGGAAAAAAATGAGGTGAAGATAAACGAAAAGAGATAACTGGAGAAGAAATGAGTGAGAAAAGGGAACAAGAAGGGAACAAGGTTAGCACAACCAGTTAAAAAGTGTTATCAAGACTATTATGTGCAGCGACTTTAGAAAATCTAATTTACCAGATGTCTGATGTTGTGAGGGATGTAATTGTGCCCTCCAGCAGTTTCATAATGCATCCAACATGTCCCAACATGCATTGTGTGACCAACTAACTTACTAGTTTGCCAAGGTAATTAAACAACATATGAAATTCTACTCATTAATCTTAACATTAGTCATCCTGGTGGCGCGGGCAGCTAAATTGTTTCCCACATAGTCAAGATGTTGTAATTCTGAGTCTGGCACATAATCCTCACTGCATGTCAGCTGTCCATCTACACCCCCTGCCCTGTCCACCCATCTGTCTTGGTTCTCTTCACTGCCTTGAACTGAAAGTAGTTCCCTGATTGTCTTTTAGAAAACAGTATTTGTAAAACATATTGACATGTACTGACACATGCTGAATTATATCCTGAGAAGATAGTTTTAGCCATAATTTCCAGACTTTAGAGATAGGAAATTCAGGTAATAAAGTTAAGAAGTGTAGATGCAAATAAGCCTGTAACAGTAGCCGATATTTGAGTCTTTAAATGAGTAGCCGATACAGCCAGTTTTGGTTCCATTGACTACCTAGCTGAAAAGCTACAGATAAAAAAATCACTGAGCGTTTACCTTGTATAGAAATAAAAAGCACACAAGTCTCAAGACCATTGGTGCTTGTATGCCACAGACTGTGTCCTTGCATATGGTCAGACAACAAATTAATTCTGTTTTCAAATTACTGTTAAGTGCATCTTCAAATCGCTTTCATAAGAATACAGTTATGAAATGTATTTATTTCAATGTGTAGTTTTACTTTAGGAATGAGGGTTAATTTCCAGCTTGCACATTAATATTTAAAAGACAATTATGTTGTGCAGTTGTGAGTTTATTGTCTATTTTACTACGGCTCTTAGTGGGACTTCAGCATCAGAACTGAGAACTAACAGCTTACTGTCTGTTTCTTTATAATAACTCATAGACCTGCGTGTGTATTTATGAGTCTTGAATGCAGTCATAAAATATTATACAGCATGACAGCATATGCTAGACTACTATATGTTACAACACTACTGCCATTAAATCAAATAATGTTCAGTTAAAGTATATGACACAGAGACACACAGGACACCCTATTTGTGTGTGTGTTTGCCCACTCAAACCAAGTGCTCCCAGTCCAGCATTAGCCACAGAACAGAAAGGGATAGATTAGAGCAGTGGGTGGCTCTAATGTTGCCATGCCTCATAAAAACACCATTCAGTTAAATGAGGTGAACTCACAAAGCCAGTTGCTGCAGAATGCGTGTGTGTTGGGTAATCTGTATAACGGATACAGCCGATGCCATCTGTTTAACCTCCTTGCTCTTCAGTTGCAGGCCCTAAACTGAATATGTGTCTGAGTGTGACCGTGTGTGTGTTTGCGTGTGTATGTGGACCCCCACAGAGTGCTCACAGGAGTGTGGAGTTCCCATTTCCATAGATGATAGACCTTAGAAGAGAGATGAAGGGGCCTGTTGTACGACAGACAAACACACACATCCAAGCAGTTTGGTGCAGTCCATGGGCCGTAGCGGACAATGGCATTTCAGGTACATCCACACGTTGTTTTTTTGCAGCTCTGAGCTCCCTGGTGACCCACAGTCAGCAACCTCAGCCTGAACATTAAGAGTCTGGATCAACTGAGCAAGCAAAAACATGGCCAGGAAAGCATTCCAAACAGACTGAGGCTCATATATCCCCCAAGATTTCTACCCGAGATAAAGCTCGTAAATGTAGAATTAATGCATCATCAATCAAGTTAATTGTGATCCCTCAGTAAACATAAAGATGACCCTGGACTAACTGGCTTATAGGCTTGTAAAAAGCACGTATCAGGACACCTTAAAAGTAGATCAACAGTTTAGGCATATCTAAAAAAATAAAATAAGTGTGTGCATATATTAAACTTCTGGTGATAGTGGACCTAGCAGTACTTAATAACCTCTATTTTCCTCACTTCATAGTCTAAGACATACAGTAAAGACTCTTCCTACAGCAGCCAGTATGCTTCTTCGGAAGTGCTCATCAGTCGAATAGCTCCGACCACTACTGTAACTTTGCAAAACGGACAATCTGACATTCAGACCCATTTACTGCTGTGATTGGGCAGCTGTTCGGAGATGAGAAAGGGTTTGAACCTATCTTAAGCTGTCATCATGGTCTAAAATCTATGTGGGCACACCAATCAGAGAGCATGAAACATGCTCCTCAGTAGAGATTAATTTGAGATAAGTCATATTATTTCAGCAAGGTCAATACATACCACCAGAACCAAAACAATTCTGCATCTACAAAACTATTTTGCAGGTGAGAAACGGCAAATAATTTACCAACATAGCGAAAATAATGACACCCCTTCTGGAAAAAAACATCACTTTAATGGATCTCAATACATTTGATTATCTATGCTCAGCTGAGTCATGTTTGCTGTGGTTGTACCATGAGGGTCACCAGATGCACTGGTTTGGCAATGCTTCATGCTTGATTTAGAAACTTGTAGCCTCAATGGTCTGGCAACAGTGTGTGTGTGTGTGTGTGTGTGTGTGTGTGTGTGTGTGTGTGTGTGTGTGTGTGTGTGTGTGTGTGTGTGTGTGTGTGTGTGTCTGTGTGTCTGTGTGGGAGTGAGAAACAGAAAAGGTGACAGGATGAGGAGACCTTTTGGTCTCCAACACCACCTCAAATGGTGAGAAACGCTTCCTTGGAAATCAATTATGTAAATACTGAATTATGCAAATGCATTTGAATAAATCTATGTGCTTGGGGACAAAAGACGTTGGTGTGGTTTTCTACTTGGCGCCAGGAGACGAAAGACAGGGAGAGAGAGAGAGAGAGATGAGGAAAAAGGGCTAAAACGAGGATTAGGCTGTAGAATGTCACTGGCAGACAGTGTGTGCAGTCAAACTCCAGATTTGGCTTTTTAATTAGGGAGAGAGAGAAAGTCAGAAATACAGGCAGAGAGAGAAAAGAGCTAATTCACTGACAGCTTTCTTCCTGGCATATCTCTATAGGAATAAGTACGGTGCACATTCATTATGTGTGCCAGTAATAAATGCTTGAGTGCTTCCACCCCAGCTCTTATTTGGTCAATGCTGGTGCTCAGCTAAAACTCCAGTGTTTGTGTGGATTTCCCCTCAACGGCAAGCTGAACCATCCACAGCAAAGCATGTGCAGTCACACACACACACACACACACACACACACACACACTAACATACACACAAAATGCCATTCAATAATCTTTAGTATGTTTTTGTTGTGGCATGCTTTAATGATGTACAGAGTTTGTACATGTACAACTTTAGACATAAACAAAGGACAGTCGAATAATTCATCACTTACACAGGTGAGGTAAATACAGGAAATTATGTTATCCCTGAGCAATTTCCTTAATGAATGAGTACCTCCAAATCATAAAGCTGTTTCTTGTACTTTGTGCATTCAATTTATTTTGCTTAGCATCAAATTTGCATCCACCATCTTTAAATTATCTACAATTTTCCATTCACTGCTCCTCAGATTTCATTAACATAAACAACTACTAAAGCAAAGTGTGAACAATATACTTCACAGGGGGTATGGGGTACTGTTGTTCCCCTGTTAAGTAACAGAGCCGATTCAATGTATGTGTAAAACGCTGACCCTGTTGCGTTACACATCACGCCTCTTGTGTTTTCGTATGCTAAAATCACGAACTGGGCCAGCATAATGTCGGCTTCAGCCAGCGCAATGATGGGTCTTCTTTACGGCAGTATTTTGGGAAAAAAAACTATAGTTAGAGGCTTATTAACACATACACCTCAAATGCACTGCAGGAGAACAACACAGCAGTTCAAATACGTCTGCATGAATCATCACACTAACACGTTTGGGTGATGTACACACCTGCATGTATCCAAAAAAACACACATAAACTCACACATAAGCACGCACACGGCGCAGTGGAAGTACCAGTGGCATGAATTGGTTGGTGCTCATTAAATGTGTGTTCTCGTCACATAGCCGGGGGAGGTTAAATGAATTAACACTTCGTCAGCCTACTTTGCCACCACAGACTGTCACAGAGACAGAAAGAGAAAAAGAGAGACACTTGAGGATGAAGAAGAGACACATCAGGTGAATAGGAAGAGAATGAAGGATTGAGGAAATTAAAGAAAAAAACAGGTATAATAGTGAGAGAGAGAAACAATAACTACAGGCATTTTCTATATTCTCATTTGCTCCAATTTCTGCTAAATGAAACTTTTTAAGTGGGATCCAACTTTCTCTACCCTGGAAACATCTTATCGACTATGGACAGGATCAGTTTGGTCAGACTGGGCTCTGATTAGGTCTAGCTGTTTTAACCCACCAACAGGAACACGTCAAGAAAGTTTTCTCATCCTGACCACCTGCACAGTTTCGCCTGGCTGCACTTGGCTTTGGGCTTTCTCTTATTGATTGGATTTTGCATGTAATCTTTAAATCTTCAAATAGAAAGAAAAGTTTCACTACCAATTTTCCAGCCAACAATATTCAGAAATAAAGAATCCAGGGATCATTTGTGAACACACTGCTACTAAATTAATTCACTGAAAAATATACAAAAGATGCAAGATTTCCTTCAGCACAATAATGTAAGATGAAGCATTACAATACACACACAACAAGCAGAGACTGATACCAATACTGATGGCAGTAAAATGTGCTAAAAACAAATTTTTACATATATTACTTTGAAAATGCACTTTCCTTA